AGCCTGTTCCAGTGCCTCAGCACCCTCACAGTGAAGAACTTCTTCCTTATATCTAACCTGGACTTCCCCTGTTTCAGTTTGAACCCATCACCCCTTGTCCTACCACTACAGTCTCTGATGAAGAGTCCCTCTCCAGCATCCTTGTAGGTGCCCTTCAGATATTGGAATCCTGTATAAACAGTGCAATGAACTCAGCTCTTCTGCCTTCATTGGTGTTGTGGTTAAAGCCCAGCTGGTAACTCAGAACCATGCAGCTGCTTCCTCGCTCCCCCTGCTTCTTCCCTTCCCCCCAGTCCCGGAGGGATGAGAAGGAGAATTGAAAGAATGTAAATCCCACGGGCTGAGATAACAGCACTCCAGTAACTAAGGTATAATACAAACCACTGCTGCTACCAATAATAATGATAAGAGGAATAACAAGGGGAGAGGACACAACCGCTCACCACCCGCCGACCGATACCCAGCCCGACCCGAGCAGTGATCTGGGCCTTCCGGGTAACTCCCCCCAGTTTCTATACTGGGCATGACGTGCTGTGGTCTGGAATAGCCCTTTGGCCAGTTTGGGTCAGGTGTCCTGTCTCTGCTTCCTCCTGGCTTCCCCTCCTCCCTGGCAGAGCATGAGACTGAGAAAGTCCTTGGTCAGAGTAAACATCACTGAGCAACAACTAAAACCATCGGTGTTATCAGCGTTGTTCCCAGGCTGAAAGTCAAAAACACAGCCCTGCACCAGCTACTAAGGAGAAAAACATGACTGCTGTAGCTGAACCCAGGACAACTGGTTAGGCTTCCACAATCAGTTCTTTCCTAGCACTTGAGTTCCCTTTATAAATATTTTCTACTCCCCTTTCCAATTATTCTGCCTTCAGCATTCTCCAGTATCTCTTTGTGAAGGGACAGCACACACAGCCACATCATTCCTACATCAGGAATGAGCATCCTTCAGTAATTATTCAGCTGTTGGGTTTAGGGGGGTTTGCTGGGGTTTTGTTCTTTGGTTGGTTGGTTTTAAACAGATTTCCTAGTTGTTCAGTTCACAGTAGCTGCCTTTCCTGAATGGAGGCTCTAACCTGCGTTTCCTTCTATTCTGTAGCTGATGTTTACAAAACTTGTTAGATTCTCCCAGACCTGGATCAATTGTCATTTTTGTTGAAGCTGATCAACAGACTTAAAAAGATTAACATGGTAAGGGGGGTGTTTGCAGAAGCTGGCTTTTTTTTCGGGGGGGGGGGAAGGGGGGGTTGCTTTGGTTTTAACGTCTTTGCTTTCTGGACCTATGCATTTTACATTACTGGGGGTGCCTGGTGTTACTGTACATTTTTTCTTTCAGAGCAGTGTAACAAGAGCAACAGTCTTCATCTGCTAGTGTGGAAACAAGACTGGAGATCCTACGCCACATTGTCCCAGCGTGGCGTGGCATGGCATGGCATGGAGTTTCAGAGATGATCATGAGAACATCCGTTAACAGGCAGAGGTGTTGTCAGTGAACTGCTTTTCCAGATAACGCTTATGCCAAAAGAAAGCCATCAGGTTCACAGCATATGTCAGGGGTTAAATAGTTAAAGATGGGCCACTCTGGCTTCTCTTCTTGCTTCACTTAAAGAGAACTACTTTTCTTCTCTTGAAAAGGCAGATACAGCTCCCTCCAACCTTACCAGATTTTCTCCAAGCTGAAGACAGCTGCGGGGCAAGCAGGGCAAATGAAGGTGGATGAGCAATTATCCCACCCTTATTCTGATGAAAGGGAGCAGGGCTGGGATGAGGGAGGCAGACATTAAAGCAGGGAGCTGCAGCATCATAGAGGCAGCATAAAGCAGCTCTTCCCACATGGGTAGCTGTTTTTGTTTCCCCGCTTTAGGTGTTAGCAAAGCAGCAGCATTTCCAAGCAAGCCTTACTGGGAAAGAGAAAGGGCCCATCTTTTCCTCACCTGGCTCTCTTTCACCAGAGAGCACTATTTTGGACATAAGCTGGAAATCTTTGTGCATCCAGGATTTTGCCCAGAAGGCAGAATGAAAGTAAAAAACAAAAAACCAAACCACCCACCCCCCCCGAAACAAAAGCAGTCTGTGACAGATCTTTTATTGCTTGCATCAGTATCCAGAATCTCCCTCCCTACTCTTATAAATCTCCTTAATTGATCAATCAATTTTGTTGTGATTTTAGCAATCTCATCTACCTTAAACTAGTTAACTGTGCCAGATAGGCTTCTTGTACAGGCCCATGCCATCCGTCTCATCTGATGCCAAGAAAGCTGAGACTTTGAAAGACCCTTAAGGGTTCCAAAAGGAATTAGCATTATTATAACACTGGTTATTTGATACCATTTTATGTAGTTCTAGCTTAGTTCAAACACAATTTAACTCAGTCCCTTTGAAAGTGGCTTATAGCATTGTAATGTGTTGATGAATTAATCTATTATTGTCATTTATATTGTGGCTGCACAGCATTAAAAAAACCTACAAAACGAGCACATCAGAATTCCTAATGCCATTAAATCATTTTAGTCTACTAAAAAAAAAATACTTTCCTCTTGCATAATGTTGTTAAAGTAGCGAGAAAACAGCTTGAATTTCTGATGCATGATAAATTAAAATTGCAGTTTAAACCCCACAGTTAACGACTGGGATTATCTTGGTTTGGACTTAAAACACATTCATCCAATGTGTGTTGCATCTCAAAAAGAAATGCACATTCTGTCAATTTACAAAGTAAATCATTTAAAGTCCTGACAGACAAGCCATGCCCTGTGGACCCAAAAGAATTATTTTCCTACACTAGTAACAACGCTCAGTGTTCCAGATCCTCTACATCTTTTTGTGGTTGTATTTTTGCCCTTTTAAGTTGTGGCTATTACAAGTGCAGGTTATTACACGAAGTATACAGGTATACCGCTTCCTAAAGGGAAAAAAAAAAGAACCACCAACCCAAAAGAGTATCAACCCCCCTTGCAAGTTTCTCTGCGGTGTTTCTTTGCTGCACGCACGGAGCCGCAGAGCAGCCGCCGCAGCAGGGCGGGACCCGCGGTGACTCCGGGGGAGAAACGGGACACGGACGAGCTTCGCCACCAACCTTGCGATTGAAAGGACTCGTTTTGATTGGCTGGCAAGATACGCTTATTAACCAATAAGAGCGTGGTATTTAAAGAGGACCAATTGCAAAGCTGTTCGTGCGAGAGGTGACGCCACTTGCGCCGCTATCCAATAGAAGCGCTTATCCCTGAAGCCGGGGATTTGCATAAGGGGCCTATAAATACGGGAGCGAGCGGGCTGCTCACCACTCCGGTGCGTCAGCGGGACCCGGGAGTTATCGCAATGCCAGAGCCGGCCAAGTCCGCTCCTGCGCCCAAGAAGGGCTCTAAGAAAGCTGTTACGAAGACACAGAAGAAGGGTGACAAGAAGCGCAAGAAGAGCCGCAAGGAGAGTTACTCCATCTACGTGTACAAGGTGCTGAAGCAGGTGCACCCCGACACAGGCATCTCGTCCAAGGCTATGGGCATCATGAACTCCTTCGTCAACGACATCTTCGAGCGTATCGCTGGGGAGGCCTCGCGCCTGGCGCACTACAACAAGCGCTCCACCTCCCCTTCTCGGGAGATCCAGACGGCCGTGCGGCTCCTGCTGCCGGGTGAGCTGGCCAAGCACGCGGTCTCCGAGGGCACCAAGGCTGTCACCAAGTACACCAGCTCCAAGTAGAGTATTGCAGACCGACAGTTTTTAACCCAAAGGCTCTTTTAAGAGCCACCAATTTTTTCAAGTAGAAGGGCTGAATTGCTGTTCTTGGGAGGTACGCAAATAACCCAGTCACTTGCATGTCCCGAGCGAAATCCTTTTTCAGGTAACAATTGCAGCTACTTAATAGTGGAAGAATCTCTATTCATAGCATGCACTTGAGGCATATGGGATCGGCTGTTTAAAACTTGAGCATACAGTAGTTGGTTTTTGAGTGTGGCTAAAAAACAGCAACTATACCCCAGTGCTGTGGCAGCTTGCTCGATTTCCAGAACTTAGGAGTACCACGGGGAAGGTAGGTGGAATTTCATTTTCGAAAAGCTTGCATTCCTCTTAATATGCTCAGTAGAAAATTCTGGCTGTTGTTCGGAACTTGCTTTCTGTGCACTATACCTGTAAAATAATAATTAAAAATATATTTCTGCCTCTTTCAGTGAATAATAAATATTTTTAAAGCCTTTTTTAAAGTAAGTCTTTCAGGTGCGTTTGTAGCTTGGTTTCGCTTTTCGTACGTTTTAAATGCGGGTCCCACTCTTCCCCCTCCACCCCCTCCAGCACGCGCTTTTTCCAGCGAGGTACCTATCCGTACTTGATTAAAAAAGACTTTTCCTTAT